TTAGTAGTTTTTGTGTTTACAGTGTCTAAATACACAATCTATATTTCACTACAGCATGGTCATAGAGCACAATGTTCTGTGACTCTTCAAAAAACAGTAAAAATGCTGACAATTTCCATTTTTGGTTCTTTTTTAAAACTGTGTTTTAAAAAAGAACCAAAAATGGAATTAGAAATCAGACACAGCAAGAACGTACCAAAGAATGCTGAAAAACGTTGGCAGTCGGGGGTTTTCTGATCAGAAACAGCTGGGAGTGAATGAGTTAAGTAAAATAACAAAATATTTGTACTTTGTTACTTGTCACCTTTGCAAAGTACTCTCTGACTGAAACGTAACTTTTAACACGACAAAGAGGTGACACACACCTTAAAATAACTTTTGGTTTTAAGAAAAATATAATTAATTAAAATTTTCAATTTCCCCGCAACAAGTGACTTCTGCCTTCTATGCCGTGTGCAAAAGCAGAATTTCATGGGGTGCTGAAAGCAAGCAAAACTACCAAGTGTGCTCCACCCCTGAGTGAAATTTAGTCTGGTGGCATTTTCCCCTGAGTTAGATACGCGGGGAAAAGCATTTTTTAACCAGCCCAGTCATTCTCCTAATCTGGCTGTATTCTGTTAGCTTGAGTTTAGTATGAATTGTAACCACTAGCATTTAGTGTGAAAAAGCCACTAAAATTACTTAATAAAAATCCCAATTTTTTTGGTGACCTTATCATATTTACTGCTAATGAAAAAAATGAGCATGATGAGGGAATTATAGGAGATGATTTAGACGTGGGACTACATAACAAAAAACTGCTGAAAAAAACTGCTGCTGCGAGGTGCAACAACATGACGCAGTGGTTCTAAAACTCGCCGTTTACTGTCATTAGGTTTATGGTAAAGCGTATGCAATGTTTACGTACAATTTTTCTTCATGGTCAATGTGACTATTGAGGTCATCCAAGAATTCAGATCATTCTTGAGCACTTTTCATGACTTTTTCCCACGAAAGGCTAGCTGTTACCATTCACTTACACTTGTTTATGCTAAGCTAAAGCTAATGGAATTCTGCCCAAACAGGAGAATGACTGGTCTGGTCACAAAATGCTTTTTTCCCATTTATCTAACTCTGAGAAATATGGCAACAGACTATATTTCATTTAGGGGTGGGGTTTCGTAAGAGTTTATGAATCAAGACCTAATAATTATCTCAGAATGAATCCAAATCAACTTTTCAAACATAAAACAAACAGATTCTCTTTAGTTTTCATGATTTTAGTTAAGTTTGTAACTTTAGAAAAACAGGTTTTCTTTTATTTTTCTCTACATATTACTACAGTCTTGAAGTCCTTTGAGCAACATGACAGGATGAGGCGTTTAAGTTCTTACAGGTTTTCTCTAGGCTCCAACAAACCGCCTTACAGTCCACGCGCTGTAAACCCTGTTGTGGAGCTCCAAGGGCCAAAGGCAAGTGACTCATTCAACAAGAATGTTTTCAAATTGGCTCATAGCTGCTGTGTGTATCTCTCCTCCCTCATGCTGTAACACCACAAGCCTTCTTTTTAGGCATTTATGTGTTGACAAACACCCTGGAGTCGAGCCTTCCTGTCTGCTGGCGAGCTGCATTTGCTCTCTGACAACCAGTCAGTTAATCTTTCAACCTTTACAGCTTCCTCGGCATCGTTCTGTCATGGACGGTGCACTATAGTAAATCCACCCCCTTTTCTTTGTAGTTACCAGATCGTCACAATGTCCCCAGTAAGATTTAAAGAGCACATCGGGGCAACTCGAGTGCTTCATGGGAGGCAGGGTACGGTGCCAGGAATTCTTTTCTGAGTGTCGCATGCAAGTCGTGACACCTCTCTCACTCTGAACGAGTGCCTAGAAAGGACTGAGGTTACTTTCATCAACATTAGTTCATTAAATGGAACAAACACACTTGGAACACAGTTGTGATATAATTGTGTTTAACTTTGTGATTTCAGTAATGAGATTTAAGCTTAAATGACTTTGAACGCTGCCTCCCACATGAGTGTGTGTGTGTGTGTGTGTGTGTGTGTGTGTGTGTGTGTGTGTGTGTGTGTGTGTGTGTGTGTGTGTGTGTGTGTGTGTGTGTGTGTTGGCATGACACCTCCTACATGTATATCCTCTGACAGCGCCTTATTTCTGCCAGCCAACAGGGACTCAGATGTGTGGGCATCCACTGATTGTCCTCGCCAGTGTCCCAGAAGAAGAAAAAAATGTTTTGAGATTTGATGATCAAAAATGGGCCTTTAGCTTCAGTTTTTATGCATGACATTATAAAAATAAAAGTTTTTAGGGATTTATTTAGATTCTGCAGAAAATGCCAGCCTAATGAACAACACGTAATAAAGAAGAATGGCAATAACAAAAACAGACTGAGAGGACAACCCAGTCTTAAAGGGGTGATGGAAATACCAACACAAACCTGTAGATCCTGGAGTTTTAAAAGTTAAACTGTAATTCTATAATCTAGTCATTTACCTGATCTCACATTCATTGTACATGGTGTAACCATTAAAACCAAATCATTAACTAGCTTTAATGCATGCTTCATAACTAAAGTAATCACTGTAAATAAATTAGGATTTGTTTTTCTGCTGCTGCAAAATCACTCCCAGCACGTCAAAAACAAACGCTTGGTCAGCCACTCTCCGTGTCAGATCCCTGACGCCAAAAGTACCCTTTTTCGTCACTTATGTACGAAAAGGGGTTTTCCCCGTTTCTGACTGCAGATCCCAATGCAGCATAAAACTGACGATGTCAGGGATGTCTGCTGATGCGGCACCGAACCAGCTCATTTAACCGCACCTAAACCTTAACGTTTCACTATTTATAACCTTCCCCTCTCCCTCACCCTAACCTTAACCCTCTTGCTACCTAAAACGTTAAGCTGACTGTGATCAAGCGTTTGTTTTCAATGCATTCTGACTGTGAATTTTCATATTTGCCGCCCAAGGGGAACGTTAGAACATACCATCTGGCGAGGTTACAAATACCCTCTACTTCTAACCTCCACCTTGGCAGTTGAAACCTCCCCCTCGCATTGGCTCGGTCCAAACCTGACCAATGACAAGGCGACTCCCGCCGTTCACTTCATAGAGCCGGCTTTTAGAGCGACCGGCACATCACTAACGTGTTAGCTAGCAGGATGGTTAAGGTTAGGATGGGGGTGAGGGGAAGGTTAAATAACAAGAGAATAAGGTTAGGGTGAGGTACAATGAGCTTGTTTGGTGCCCCGGCTGCGGACATCCCATCGCGTCAGTTTTACGCTAATTGGGATCTGCAGTCAGAAATGGGAAAAAACCCTTTTCGTACATAAGTGACGACAAAGGGCACTATTGGCGTCAAGGGTCTGAAGCGGAGGGTGGCTGACTAAGCGTTTGTTTTTGATGCGCTGGGAGTGAGGATGTGTTGGCAAAATACAATAAGCTCACATAACAACCAAATGTTTCTATTTGGAGGAAAAAATAAATTTCTTCTCAGTTTGACCCTTTTTAAATGCACTTCTCTAAAAATGCATAATCTGTTTTTAATAATTAAGCCATTAGGTAGAACTACGTTGTGTTTGAGAAGATCTCAGAGTCGCAAACATCCAGTATTCATGCATCCATTATATTAAGCAATTTTTTTAGATGCAATGCACCTCTCAAACTCAGACTTTAATCTTTTCTTACAAGATCCTGAAGATGTGACAGCACCCCCCTCCTCCTCCTCCTCCTCCCGAGGATCTCTTTCCTCCCTCCTCCACACAGCTTCAATTTGAGCTCCTAAATGAGCTTCTAACAAGTGAGTAGGATGCAGGGCAAAGTGAGAAAAACGAGGAGGGTGGTTTGCAGAGAGAATGAGCAAGGAGCTGAGGGACACAACGAGGAGACGGGAGGGAGAATGTGTGCGCTAACCGGAGGGGGAAAACAATGGTGGGGCAGGACAGCTAAATATTCATCACCAAACCACCGGGGAGAAATCCGCAGACTTTTTGCTGCTGTGTGAGGGTTGTTACTGACATTCCCCTCCAGAAACACTCCAAAGGTTAGGGTCAAGGAGTGAGCTTCTACACGCTAACAGCACTGGAGTGCTTTACTGTGTAGACCAACATAGTCCTATCTAATCTGCTCCCATCGCTTAGCGTCACAGCTGCCTGCACCAACACACTGATACATCACACAGAATCAGACACTCAGAGTCCATTTGTCCAGAGTTGCATCCAGGTGAACGGTGCTCATTTGGATGACTGTTCCTCTCAGATCTAGTACGTCAGCAGCTGTTCTTACAAAAGCAAGCTGATGAACAGGTCTGTTGCATTTTACACTCCAAGCAACTTTCACATTAGGTTTAAAGAGATAATATAACACAGACTGGCTTTTTGCATTAAGTTTACTGTGCTAACATTGTTATTTAGCTAAAATGTCCTCAACTCTGAACAACAGACAACCAAATGCTGCTTTAGGAGGATTCTAATTTTCAACCATTTCTGTTTGGCTTCTATTTTGCTTTTAAAAATATTTTTAAAAGATATTATTCCGATTTTTATTATTAATTTCATTCTCATTTATTATTTAAAGGGGAACTAGGCAGTGTTGGCTTGCTTTCAGCACCCCCTAGTGTCTGTTTGTAGAACAGAAAGCAAAACCTCCTTAATCAGCTTAATCTAACAGCCTTCATTAGTGTCTACAGGAGTGAATCATTACTAAATGAAATCAGCTGAGTTCATGATCTAAAACATGCAGGAAATGTGCTGGAAGCAGACTGCAGTGCCAAGTATGTCAGCTCAGTTTCCCAACAGAGCGGCTGCCAGTATGAAGTTGCAAGTGGAATATTCTGGCCACGAGTGGGTTGGCCTTTCATTAATCATGTAAAGGGTAATTTTAGCACCAACTGGCTCAAGAAAATAATTAAAAAATATGAACAATTTGCTAAGTATCCCTCTAAGAAATATACACAACAAACACTAAATCATTTCAAACAATGAGAGAGAAATAATTGAAATGATGACAAGTTTCTAAGCATTTTATTTGCAGTACATCAATAGATTAAACACAATACATGCAATGTGGTTTACCATTGATATAAGCATTTTTTGCAACTACTTTACTTGTTCCCAGCCCAATTTTCGCATGGCAAGGAAATAATTATCAGGTAATAAAAAAATAAATCAAAAGTACTAAAACTTAACATGAGCTGAAAGTAATTTCTTTAAAGGGTGCGTTCACTGCTTATAAAACTTGATCTTATGATCTCAGCCTTTCTGAGTATGCATGCTGTACATGAAAGTTGTCTTCAAACAGAAAAAAGCTTCTTCTTCATCACAGAGAAAAATTTGGATTCATGGCCCCACCTACATTGGATTGTGACCGCCCATGGGAGGATGAGAGCAGAGCTTGTCTTGGCTAGTAGAAGCCAACGATTAGCAACTCCACAACAGTGGTGGACGTTTCCTCGTGGCCTGGCTGCTGAACTAGCTTGCTAGGTGACTGTCGACAGACCTGCCTCCAACCCCACCCCAGCGCTTGAACATAGAAACGGCTGCAACCTTCTAGTTTGCTCTGGAAAAAACATCAACATTGCATTTTTTTACACAGGAAAGACAAGTAAACAAAAGCAGCAGAAGAGTAGCGTTGCTATTGGCCAATCAGAGGCATTATGTCTGTGTGTCATGAATAATGAATAAGACTCAAAATCCTGACACCCTCCCAACTAAAATCTTCAAACCCCTAAAAAAGGAGCGCCAGAGCATTTATCCCACAGAAAACGACACAAGGCATTCATTTATACTAGAGACCACAACAAATTTATTGAAAAAAAAAGTGAGGGATGTTCAAAGTTGCAGTGTGTAGTGTCCTGGCACTAGGGGGCAGTACGTACATTTCAGGGTAGTTGTATACCATATCGTCATGACTGTAGCTAGTTTAAAAACATTACGGTAAGTGTTACCTGTGGAGCAGAAAGCATGCGACCTTGGTGTGACTAACTTACAAATGTGGTGTGACGTCATCAGAAGGCACAGGACCCCGAGTCGGCTCGGGTAAAACATGGCGTCTAATAATGTCCAGAGACTTTTATGGTCCATCTTTATAGGGTTGCAAAGCCGCCAATAATTTTCAATGACTGGACATCATTTTATTCATTTTCAACAACATTATTTGCAGAGATTAGAGGTAAAAACTACACGTTTAAATATTCTGTTTAATAAACAGAAAAATCCCATTCGGCCGAGATCTGAGAGACGAATCATCCTTCAGCTGATCTGAGACAAGTTTCAGCACATAACTGTGGTAATCACCTTGCTGGGGCTAAAACGGTGTGTGTCAAACTGTCGTATTCAGTGTTTTTCAATAACTCACTGAGGGTCTTGGAACAGATTGTGAAGAAGAAATTGTAATAATTTAACACACTTATTTTGGAAATTATAATGAAACTATCAGAGCATCACTGACCTGTAAAAACTAAGGATTTTATCAAACACTTGTACCATTTTCTTTCTATGGACGTTCTTTGGGAAATAAAGCAATGATTTCGATGTCCGACACTTAAGAAAAAAATTTAAAAAAGAAGGAAAATAAGAAACAAGCTGACATTTGATATTCGCCTCTGGTCTTCGTGTCATCCTCAAAGAGTCCTCTTGCATGATAAAGAGATGAAACACCGAGGTCACTTCTGGCCTTGCTTCCACGTGTACCATCTCTGACCTATCTGCACTAATCTAGCCGTTCCCACTAAACAGAAATAAATGCACAGTGACGCACACGTTGCTCCTTGCTCGGTCCAGCTATGGTCCCCAGTGTCTGTGCTGCAGTCTGCCCGCAGGACATGGGTGAGTCATCTTACTCAGGCAGACACAAAGCCAAGTGGGCTCATTTATCTGGCTGCCTGTTTATCTGCAGACCTTCACTTTACAATTGTGGGTCTATCTTGATCATGTGACTTTTTTTCTTCTAGATCATGGTCTGCATTGTCTAACATGTAGCTCACTAAAACATTGGCCTTCCCTGAAATGACTATTTCTGTATAACTGAAAAGAAGGAAAATTAATAAACTTCCAACTTTTAAACACCACAAATAAACACAAAAAGAAAACAAAAACAACTAAACTAAATATTACAAGAACAGAAATCTAAAATATGGTGTTCCTTTGCAGGCGTGCCCCCACCTTCTTGAAAAGGGCTTTTAATTTGCATAATCTGCAATGTTTCATCTTCAGCATCTCTTTCCTACTATCATCACCATCCTTGTCTTCCTTCGGCCCCTCTTGACCCAGCCAGGGGCCCCACACCCCTCCATGTAGTTCTGGGTCCGCCATGGGATCGTCTGGTGGGTTTCTGGCCATTACAGCAGTCTGGTTGTATTGCGCCAGTCTAGTGAGCAGATGTTTCACCACCTCTGGCCGAGCCTCCGCGAGGTCTGACCTCTCATATGGGTCAGCGCTGATATTAAACAGCCACACGGACTTTCCCAGCTCAGTGCGACGCTTCTCGAGTTTCTGCCACCGTTCCGGACCATCTGGAAGGGCCTGCGGCGGGATCCAGTCCCCGTCACCCACATTTCCTGTCAACAACTTCCAGTCACCAACTCTCAATGCGGCTCTCATGGCTGTGTCCCAGATCCCAAAGCCATTGTGGAATAATGCCTTGTCGTATGACTCTCCGGGTTTCCTGGACACAGGGTCGATGTTGAAGAGGATTTCAGAGCGAGGACTGGGTAGGCCCTCGCTGATACTACCCCAGACGTTATGACCATCCAGGCTGTGGTTAGGCTGCAGGGCCCCAGCAAGTCCAAGCAACGTGGGATACCAGTCAGAGACGTGGATAAGTGCTCTGCTTACAACACCTTTCCTCTTCAGAAGTGGACTATGGACAAACCCGACTGCTCGGACACCTCCTTCCCAGTAGGTCCCTTTGCCTCCTCTTAAAGGCCAGTTGCTACCTCCTGAGAGTGGCTGCCCACCATTATCAGATGAGTAGATCAGTACTGAGTTCTGATAGAGCCCGGTGCTCTTCAGTTCTTCGACGACTTGTGCAACCCCTTCATCCAGACAGCTTACCATGGCCGCATAATGGCGCCTGTGGCGATTACTCTGGGAATCATAGCGATGCAGAAAATGATCAGGTACCTGTAGGGGTGTGTGTGCCGCCTGAAGGGACAGGTAGAAGAACAGAGGTGTATTGGGGTCATGGTTCCTCAGGATTTGCTTCACTCTGTCACAACAAGAGGAAGATTTAAAGATTTGTTTCTTTCTAAATGGATGAATGTGTTAACTCTCACCTCTCAATGTAAAGCAGAGTGGATTAGTTCCCCTTCATCTCCCAGGCAGGTTTGTCCCCGTCATGCAGGTCGAATCCACAAGCTTCAGCCCCGTCACAGCTCTGATAGGAGAAGTGGTCTCCACTTCCTGTCAGAGTCCCCAGAAAACTCTGAAATCCACGTCCGGTTGGCAAGCAGCTCAGTCTGCAGAATCCTAGGTGCCATTTTCCCACCATGTGTGTCTCGTATCCAGCTTCAACCAGATGTTGAGGTAGAGTGGTAACATCTGGGGGCAGGCAAAGAGGCTGACGTGGCCGGATGATTGAATGTTGAAGTCCAGTGTGAATTTGGTAACTGGCACCACAGGAGGATTGGACACTTTGTTAGAAAACACCTAAGCATGCCTCACATTGATTTTAAAGTCTGAAAATGTCAAAGTAAAAAACTAGAGGTTTAGAGGTTTTAAATGAAGGGTGCATGAAGTAAGAATCACATTCTGTGGTCAAAATTTGAGTACTGCAGTCCATGTATTAAAACAAATGGCAGTTGCCAGTTAGGAATCAGAGAATTCTAGATGACGAGCCAAGATGAGTCATACACAGTAGGTTGATGAACAAATAAATAAATTTCACTGTCATATGGAGTTGTTGGCAATTGATGTACTTTTTTTAAAGCCAACAAAAAATTTTCTAATTCACCATTAGCAGTGTTAACTCATCATTAGCTTCTAGCTTTCTTTACCTGATATTAGAGTTAAAAAGCAAAAATGCTGTGGTTTCTTTGGGTTAAAAAAAAGGACTTCTTTGCTGCGCCTTCTACTGTTCTTTCCCAGTCAATATTCAATTACAAATGCTGGAGCAGCAACTATCGGCGAAGGATTTTAGACAAATGCGAGAGAACCACTTTATTAATCTTTTTAAATCTCCACAATATATTTATAGCTTTACTATGTTATTACATATTTAAGAGGCATGAAAAAATATTTTAAGCTAATTTGCTTTCCAGATTTGTTATCAAAGCTTTAGCAAACAACCCATCAAATTATCTCAGATAATAAGAGATGGTAAACTCACCGTCCAGTCATGAGCTGACTACGAGATGGTGAGCAGATAGGCTGGACATAATAATTTTCAAGCTTGACTCCTTCTGCTGCCAGCTGGTCAATTGCAGGAGTGCTGATGTCAGAGCCGTGATAACCAACGTCTCCGTAGCCCTGGTCATCCACCATGATAAAGATCAGGTGAGGCGGCCTGGGCCTTCTCCCTTTCTCGTTGTCCCCCCTGTCATCCACAGGCTCACACAAGCAGCCCAAACCACTGAGCAAGATCACACTAATTACCAAGAAAAGCACTGAGTGGGCTCCTCCTCTCATATTGAGCTGTTCTTTGTGACTTACAGGTATAGAATCCAGATCTTCCTTACTTTACAGTTCTTTCAGTCTGCAGTTCTTCAAACATTTGACAGGATTGTTGTATTCCAAAGAACGTGTGGATCCATTAAGCCAGTGAGATAGTCTGATCTATCCATTCAGGTTGAACTAAAGCTGTTCACTGATGCTTCTGCAGTTTTTGGTCTGTTTTCAGTAAAGTGGAAAGTTTGTTATAGACAGGGAGACTTTAGTTTTTGCAGAACCTTGCTACATTCCTACATGTTTTCAGGAGTCTTACTAAAGAAATCCTCAGTCATATGACACTGACGTGTGCTAGACAGTATATTGAACAAACAGTAGACAGTCTTATTTAAATCTATTATTTGGAATATGAACAAAATTTCATTGCAAATAGTAAAGCCTAATCTTTTCTACAAAAACGGTTTTAACATTTTGCACTTTTTAAAACATAAAGCTATTTTCTTCTCTTTTCAAAAACTCCTGTCTGAGAGCCCGCAGAGTTGCCGCACCTATGCGAGCTAACGCTGCTGCGCCAGCATTTGTAATTCGATCCCGGCCAGCAAACTGCTGCAGAGTTTTGTGGAAGATTTTTTTGTTTTAGTCAAATATCGGGTAAAGAAAGCTAGAGGCTAATGTTAAGCTAACGTTAAGCTAACAATGCTAATGGTGAATTTGAATATAAAGTTGGCTTTAAAAAAATCAATTACCAACAACTCCATAATACAGTGAAATGTATTTATCTACTTATCAACTTACTGTGTAAGATTCGTCTTTGCTCATCATCTAGAATCTTCTGGCACTGATCCCTAACTAACAACTGCCATTTGTATGGATACATGGGCTGCAGTACCCAAGTTTGACCACAGGATTTCATTCTTACTTCATACAATTTAAGACCTCTAAAACAAAACTTTAACATAATTACCACAAATTATTAATCAATTAAACTGATATATTTGGGTTAATTTTCAAACTTTTAAATCAACATGAGAAATTGTGACTGTAATCTTTGCTGCCTCTTGGCCAGGACTCCCTTGAAAATGAGGTTTTCAATCTCAATGGGACCTTCATGGTTAATAAATAAATAAATAAATAAATAAATAAATAAATAAATAAATAAACAAACAAATACTCTGGTGTCTTCTAATAAAGGGCCAAATTCTCCTCTGGTGCCAGTTACCAAATTCACACAAGACTTCAACATTCAATCATCTAGTCACGTCACGGAACAGTAGTGAGAAAGTCACTCATTTGTTTTGAAAGTAGGCTGCAGTAACACAATTTGACCACAAGATATCATTTGTACATATTGTACCTTTAAATTAAAAGAGAAAACGTAAAGCTTTATTAATAACACCCCATTCAACCAGCAAAATTAAGTACAGAAAGATAATTTTAGTTACTGATAAAAATGAAGCAGAGACTTTTTAGATGGTCTGGTCAATCAGTACCCCAGCTTGCCATCTCTGTTCAATAATTCCTTGAAAAACATCCAAACACAAATACACAGAGGACACAACATAAGTTCAGAGAATCAAAATGGCCAAACACTTTCAACGCGAGGCCGAAGCTGAGGCCTTTTCCGGAGCTAGGAGCTAGCACTACCTGTGACACTCATACTACCTGTCAATCAAATCAAATTATTCATAATTTCAAGCATTTAATTACACCTAAACAGAAGAGTTACAAAAAAATCACCCCTTTAGAGTTGTCATGACTAATCCAGATCTATTAAATCTAAAACGTTTTTGAACCAGGCTGTAAACACGTTTATTCCTGTTTGAAGTTGACATTTTCAACATAGGAGTCAAATGTAACTTGCTCATTTCTTGTGCCAGCCCCTAGAGGATGAGAGAGGAACTGCAATTTTTGTACTTCCTGGTTGGCTTCACAAAATTCAGACTAAAAGGCTTCCCCTTGGGTGACATCATTAAGTAAACACATCATTATGAAAAATTTGTTTGATTTCCAGATCATTGCAAATAGATCAGAACAAATGTTTCTTGTCCCTAAAAATGTAATTCTCATTTTATTTTATTTTATTTTTATTTATTTAGTGAAGAAACATGGCTAGATAGTTTTGTGCCATCCAACAATGTGTGGTTTTATCAATAACTAAAATTTGGCTAAAACAAAAAACAAATCCTACATTTTTACAAAGAAAAGTGGCAAATCCAAAAGAAATGCAAACATTTATGATACAGCCTGGACAAAGACACCACGATCTAGCCACAAACAGAGAAACAAAAGAAAGAAGTGAATAAAGCCAAGCTCTAAACCTTACCAACGACTCTGACCAAAACCAGATTTTACCACAAATTAAAACTGTATTAGTGGACGATGAAATAAACAGCATAGTTGTATTTTTACTTGGAGGAACTTCCTTACTGAAAGCAGATCAAAAAAGCAATAAGTGCTAATAATGTTAATAAAATTACTACAATTACTGTTGTAGATTTCTTTGGTCCTGCTACTCCTGCTAAAGAGCCTTATGTAACATTTTCCCTCTCATTTCCTGTGATGTAAGTTTCAAAACCCTGAATCAGATGATCCCTGCCGTTTTCTTTTAGTTGCTTAAGACTATTTGATAATTGTCACCTGACGAGAATTAGCATCTGTTTTGTGACACTGAAGCCTATTCGGGGAGCATCTGGAATTGCGATGAGGATATGCGTTATCGACCGATGAGCTCTTAGCCTTCACCTCGCTACCGTCTCCTTCCCCATTATGCTGCGAGGAAATCAATGCCCCAGAAACAAGTCCATTTCCTTCGCGGTAGAAGCAAACTTGTGTTGAGTCGCCCTGTGGGAAATTTCACAGGCTTCTTCCTCACGGTGGAAGTGAGCCACCAGGAAAGATGATGTAACTCAAGACTGAGTATTGTTGGGAACTGTGAAAAAATTAAATAAATAAACAGCAAAAATACAGAAAATGACAAGGGGAGTGTTGAAATTGATAAAGTGGGAATGTGTGAATGACCCTAAAGCTCTACTATCTGTGTTGGGAGAGTGGAACTTGAGCCGGCATGAAAGGAGCAGTCACTTTTCTCTGACTGCGTGTGGGCGACGGGGTCTGGGATGTAGCCATCAGTCTGCCTGAGGGAAATTCAGGGTGACATGAACTCTGTTTTACTGCTAAGAGGGAGCAGGATGGAGGGGTGTTGAAAATGGAAAGTGACAAATGTCTTCTTGAGGAGCACCAGGGACTCTGCTTTTTTGCTACGCTTACTAACATGACGCATACAAGTTGCAGACCAAAACCTCAACGTAATCTTCGTGATCGTGGATGCATTTTAAACACCTCAGGTGATAAATTAATCGAGCTAGGGTTAAAAGAAAACATGGGAAACACTTTGTTCTCATTAAGGAACAATAATGCCAAACTTGGAAAAATATATTGCCTATAGCACAGAGCGGAGTTTAGTGTTCATGAAAGGAAGTAACCCCAGTGTGTGTTTGCATTTTTGTGTGTTTGTTTGTGTGTTTTGGAAGCTGTTTTTGCTGCATAGTAGAAGTGCGTCACAGTGTGTGATTTATTTATGATGAAGAATGAGTGACTCACTTGGTCTAAAACCTTTATGTGAGCTTGTGACATAAGTTGTGCGTGTGTGTGTGTGTGTGTAATACAAAAACACTATGTATAATTTACCATTCAATAATACCTCCATATTTGAACTCCAAGCAGAAGTTTGGGAAATAACAACACAATTATCATTCATTCTCCATTCATTCTGCAGAAAAAAACAGTATAAGGATAATTTACTTTGTGGGTTAAAGAGATCATGCAATTTTTTTAATAACAAAACTGATGAAACTTGTAGATTTTGTTCAATAGCAAACAATAAAAATCATATTTAAAGGCACACTTGGCAGTTTTGCTCACTTTTAGCACCTCTTTGTGTCCAACAGAAAGTGGCCCACCAGTCTGAAGTTGCAAATGCGGTATTCTGGCCCCAGGGGGCGATGGGGCTCTGCATGACATTTCATGAAGCCTGTAAAGGGTCACTTTAGCACATTCTGGCTCAAGAATATTTAGCTAAAAATATGAAAAAGTTGCATAGTATGGCTTTAAAGCCAAACACCATTTGGTAGCAAAAAAACAAATAAAGGTTTAGTGAAAGAGAATGATACGGGAGGTTCACTGGGTGGGTGTACAAAAGTACAGATGTATATATGTGTGTGCATGTGTGTCTATGTTAGGGGATATATGGTATATGGGTATATGGGCAGCAGTAGCTCAGGAGGTAGAGCAGGTTGCCCAGTAATCGGAAGGTTGCAGGTTCTATCCTGGATCCGAACAGAGAATCTTGCTGTTGTGTCCTTGGGCAAGACACTTAACCTATCTTACCTATACTAGTAGTGGTCAGAGGGACCAGTGGTACCTGTACTCAGCAGCCTCACCTCTGGGCCATTGTCAATGTAGCTCATCCCCACCAGTGTGTGAATGAATGAATGAATTATACACGGGAGTGTAAAGCTCTTTGGAGTCCTCTGACTATGAAAGCCGCTACACAAGTGCAGGTCATTTATATGTTTGACTGTTTATATTTTTCTGTTTACACAAACATATACATGCATAAATATATGTATTTATATGTTTATGTTTTGTGTTTTTTATTTGGCAGACGCTTTTATCCAAAGCAACTTACATTTTATAACCTATAGGGCATTTTGTGAATATGTATATATATATATATGTATATATATGTATATGTATGTATATACATATGCTGAAAATTGTTTGGGATAATCATATTTGTTTTGGAGAAGGGGTGGAATTAAATTGTTCTTCTGCTACCCTGGCAAACCCTCCTATATGTGAAAATATAGTCTGGCCACAACCCATGGAGAGAGCTCAGTTGTGGGGCTCTACAGCTGTCATTCAGACTGTCTCCCCAGGCTACTGGACAATGGACAACGTAGCGTACTCACTGCTACAAATTAAAGTCAGTGGGGTGGTCTGTCATACACTGTTGAAGAAGATGTAAATACATAATTTTTCTAGCTAAAGGACCTATACTCTATCTGCTCTTGACTCAAAGAAAAACTCAAGTCTAAATAGTCCAAAGTTGATGCCAAAACCATTTCAAATGAGTCGTCGCCATTTTTGTTTATGCACTCGGTTGCAGTACCACCACCTTTCAAACAAATAGAGTGTTGTGACTGGCATGGCACAAGACTGTTTGGGCTTGCTGAGGCTCAAATGGAGAGTGACTTGACCGACATGCAGAGCAAAATATTTTTTACTCCTGCTACGGTGGGTTAAAGGTGCAGTATGTAAGAATATAGTGAGAATTTTACAGTGAGAAAATCCCAAAAGTCATTTTGGAAGGAAGGTTATGCTGAAACATATTTCATATCCAGCTGGCTGAGGGGATTGTCACTTTTTCTCCTTTCAAAACAAAGAAAGAAAGATGTAGCTACTGTTTACCATCAGTGAGTGTGGGGTTGCCGTGTCTCCTGCGAGCTAATACTGCAGCACCGACCATTGTAATTTGACAACGGCCAGCAAAAAGCTCCAAAGTTGCATAAAGTGATAGCACTAGCCAAATTTTACCACAGAATGTCTTTTTACTTCACACTTTTTTCTTCTACATAATGCACGTTTAAGATTTCTAGGCAAATTATGAAGTTATGGATTAGCATATATGAAATTCATTTTTTATATGTGTTCATATATGCAAGCAAATAAACTGTACATAAATGTTATAGTCATGCCACTGTTTGTTCTGTATACACAAACAATCACATTATTGGAGGAAAAACATTACAGTTTCACTAATGCGCAATACTACAACAGCATATCTTATTAGGTTGGAAGAACATCATACAGTTTGCAAATGTATGTCAGTAATACAAAATTATTCGCAGTCTGTCATCTGCTCCACTTAGCCAGTTTGTAAACATTAGAACCATTTCATGTTGACCAACAAGAGGTGCAGCATTAACTCATTCACTGCCATTGACGACTAAAGTCGACATTTTAGATCCAACCGTTCACTGCCAATGACGACTAAAGTCATCATTTGCATTTTTTTACTGTGAGCATCGGAACGAGCCCCCGCACTGAGAGAACAAACATCTCAGCCCTGAAGCTGATCTTCATCTGCATACGTCACAGATCACATGATCAGGAAGCAACACATCCATGTGTTAGGAGATCGTTTTGGGCCGTTCCTGTAAAAAAAAGTGAGGCGCGAACCGGAAAAGCGTCTGCCGATCACAATTCCACAACGGATTATGAAAGAACGGATAACGCTCGAAATAGGCGGACTCTTCCTGATGTAAGAGGTGAGTCTCCTCTTTGTTTTGGTTGGTTTGGCATCGACATCATGCTAGCGCGCAACATTCTGTGACTCTTAAAAAAAACTGTAAAAATGGTGAGAAACGCTGGCAGCGAAGGCCGTTAGTGATCAGGAAACGGCTGGCAGTGAATGAGTTAAGAGACTGCATTGTTCCTTTTAGAAAAAGTACTTTCGGTCAGAGTACAGTATCAACAGCACAAGACTCTTATCCTGTGA